GCCCCTTGGCCACATGAGTTTGCTCTCCCTGCCCCTGATCCCCCCGTGCCACCAGCATGGGGCATCTCAAGGCTCTTTGAAATTCTTCTTTGCCAAGGCAAAAAAACATTTATTCTAAACATTTTTGCCCAGCCCAAGAGGCTAATTTTAAACAGGTTTCTGTGCTAATTTTATTTTTAAAGCAGGGCACAAGAATTCAGCAGAGCTTTCCCTTTTGCTTTGCTCCCTCCCAGCCATATCCAAAAATCAGAAAATACTGGTGTATTTTTGTGTGCTTCCCATCAAATGGCACATTCACTGAAAAATAGGGAAACTTTTAAGCCTGAGGAGCAGAAAAGTGCTATTCATTAAGGCCAATTCCCTACTTAATTAGAGCATGAGAGCTCACAGCCATGGCCCAGTAATAGCAGGCACCTCAACAGGAATATAATTATATCCCAAGAACATTTTCCCAGGTTGGACAGAGCCCTGCCTGGCTTACACATTAAATCAAGGTTGCTGCCTGCTCTGATTCCAGCAAAAATTAATTTAGTGGAAGAGGGATCACGCCAACAGGAAAGGCACCTCTTAATTTGGAGAGCACCAGAGTTGGTGTTGTGTTTGACCCCTTTGGGGATGCTGGGAGCATCCTTTGGTGTACATTTATTTTTGCCATGGAATGGAGGCAGGAGCAATGATGCTATGGAGATATAGGAGGAATCCAGTGCTGGATAACTACAGCAGACACATTAATCCTATATCATAAATCCTACGTGGTGAGGCACACTAAGAAAACTTGAATTTATTCAGTCTAGGACCTAAAGAACCTTTTGGGGAGGAGGAATTTACAGCTGGGTTGATGACACCCAGCAGCTCTGGCCCCAGATTTTTCAGCTGCTTTAGATGCTGTGATGTGGCAGAGTAGAAGCCATTCCAAGGGGAGCTCTTCCTGTGCATCCCCCAAGCTGTGCAAAGCACCAGGGTCTGTGACAAGATGCTGACTGCAGCAACCAAGTGTTTCTTTCCTCTTCTGACTCAATTTCCCCCGGAATGGAACAAACCCCATAAGCTGTACAGTCTGAGATCCCGTTAGACCCCTCCTATTTATGAAGTAGCTTGTTAGGGTGACCCTAAAGGTATTACAAGCCCTCTGTGGCTGCTGCTGGCCACGTTTGGCTTCACAGCAAAGGATAAACCTGGTCACAGAGGGCCAAATAACCGAGAGTGTTATGGATTTCGTGGCTTTTTTTTTTTTTTCACTTCTGTATATGTCTTTAAGTGGTGTTTGCCAACGAGGAGCATAGCCAGGAGAGTCTCTCAAACCGTTGGCAGGAAGTCTTTCTCACTTTCCACGTTCAGTAAGTTTAGTCTGCTTTTTCAGCTATTTATATAAAGTTCAGAAAGATGTCAAAGCAAAGGGCAAGAAGCAGTATTAAAAATGTGTGCATGAAGCACTTATTTTTGTACGAGTAGTACAAGGTTTGTATAGAGTTTTAACACTGTGAAGTGTAGTGAAAAATCACAATTTCCATTTACTGGAGGACAATCATGTACGTTTAAAGGGAATGAAGGGGGAAATGGCATCTCAATCATCCGTTACAAATTAGAACTGGGACTAAATTCTGTGAAGCAACTCTGTGATTTTAAAGTAATCCGAGGACATTCAGTGGACTTTGAAATATCATTAAAACTTTTTAAACACAAGCCTCAGTCCTTGTATACATCTGTGGTAAACAGGAGCACACTTTGCTCCAGAGGGATCGATCCCAGGTCACACTGGCCGGGTCACAAGCTGTTCAGGAGTGTTTTCCACTTTGGTGACCCTCACCAAGCACACACAGGAGAAAACTGGCAGTTTTTGTACTTCTGCACTTCTAAGTGAAAAATCAAGGGGTTCTTGACCTCTTTTCCCAGCACTGCTTTGGTCAGTAATTATATACCTGCCAGTGCTACAGGAATCGGGTTTGCTGCGAATTCATTACAGTGGTAATTGTTCCTTACCTGATCCCTGTGGAGATTTTTTGGGGGTTGTATCAATAGTGAGAATACACCAAGCAAAAATAAGGCGTAAATGTGGAGATCTGTAATTTAGGGCAGTGAGGGATTAGCCCCACCTTGAGAAGAGCCTGTTGCCAGGTCACTGATGGGTAAATCTTTTCTAAGATGAGGCCCTGCTCCTTGGAAGACCATCATAGCTGAACCACTGAGAAACAGCAATTCCTGGGACAAGGCATTCTGGGTTTGTACCTTTCCAGAGACATCCTGAACCCAAAAAATGGGAGAAGCTCTTGCTACTGATGACACAAGCCAAGGCCTCCCTGCCGCTCCAAAAGAGATTTTGCCAAAATAGCTTGACACTGCTCTTCCAAAGAGGTCAGCTGTACTCCAGGCTCCAGCAGCTCTGCTAATTCTATTATTTTCCCTCATTAGCTTTTCCTGGTGTCCTGCTTTCATTTCCTCCAAAACCAGGGCAATGGAGAATTTGCTGTTATGCTGTAACCTTTCCCTCCTGGCACAACTGAGATTCCTTCTTTGCTCAGCAGCAGCTGGCTGGTCAGTTTGGGAGAGCAAGGATGGTTTTCCAAGGAATCTCAAACCCCACAGCCCAACTTAAAGAAAACATTATTCCCCATTTGTAAAGATGTGGGTTCCCAGTGGAGAGCAAGACAAAGCCAAAAACCATATCCACCCTCCACCACCAATTCTAAGGCAAGTTTGAGGTGAAAGTGATGAGATCAATGCCCAGAAAAACCAGCAGATGGCCTCATCTTTGGCTGCTGGCAAGGCAGGGGGTACAAAAATTGTATTTTCCATCTCCCTTCTCCCAGCCAGCGCTTTTCTGGAGGTCTGTACAACACAGAGCCTCTCATCTGAGGTGCAGAGTGAGAATAAAACATCTCTGAGGGTGGCACAGCTCTGTGTTTGGAGCTGGTCAGACCCTGGAACATTCCCACAGGGAAACTCCCATGCCCTACTGAAAACCCCCTCAGTCCATGGGATAATGTGGCTTTCAAAGGGATCTGCTTTACCTTGGAGCTTGCATGGCTCCCTTTTCCCAGCTTGATCTCCCAGGGACCATCTCATCACTCCATCACATACCAACCTGGATTTCCCCTTTTTTGGGGAAAAATTTCCCAAACCAAATGACCTTTGAAGGTGACATCCAGGTGACACCCCACCTGACTGGGGCCAGCCTGGCCCTGGTGCTACTCGTGGTGCTCTGATGGGATGGATGTTCCTTTCTTCTTCTTTGTGTGTCTCCCAAAATCTCAGTCTTGGATAAAATTCCATTTCTCAGCTGTCCTTTTCTAAGTGTTGGTGGGTGCTTAGACAGCCCCTGCCCACCAACCCCTGTCCTTTGGGGATGCTTGGGGTGGGCTGCTCTCTCCCTGGACACCTCAAACTCCTCCCCATGACTCGTCCTGACCTGGCTCCAGCTATCCACAAGATTGTGCCCATCTAGATTTGGGATTGCTTAAGGAATAAACATTGGAAGAGTGACATTCCTTGGCCCCCAGCCCCACCTCGTGTATATCTGACCTGGTTGTGGAGATGTTCAAAACCAGAGAGCTGCAGATAGATTGCACACAAACACCCACTGTGGGATGCTGGAAAAAAAAACCCAGACAACCACAGGATCCAACAAATCCCAAATCCTGCAGAGGATTCTCCCCTGTCCCCCAGGGCCTGGGGTCAGATCCATCTCCTAATCCGGCTGGTGAATTGGGAAGGGACGGCATGTGCAGGAGGGAGCCGTGCACAGGAGCTCGGGCTGCCGACACAAGTTTCCCGAGTTGTGGTGGTTTATATCCCACGCCAACAAAACTAAAACAAAGGTGGAATTCTGTCCTTCTCCCAAACACGTAGCAGGGCACAAATGGCTCCACGTCGAGGGACAGCAGCCCGGGAGAGGGACGAGCAACTGTGAGGAGTAGTGAGTGCTATATTTAACAGCTGGCAAGGTGCCCAAATTCCTGAAAAATTCTTTTTTTTTCTAGGCTTTGGCTCCAGCTTGTTCTCTCGTGTAAAACAGCACTGGCACCTAGTGGCTGCTGGATCCAGGCACAGCATCCCAAAAAAGCGTGTAGGGAAGCAGGGAAGGGCTGCTGATCACTGCCTGCCAACAGCCACCATGCTCTTACAGAGCAAATAAAAGACTCTCCCAGAGAGTTTTCTATGCACAAAATATGATGAAAATCTCCAAAAAATGCTCCCGAAATTCTGCCCACTGGTGACAGCCAAATAAACACGAGGTGTTTCACAAGGGTGCCTGCTCTGGGGCACGAGGGGCTCTCCAGATATCCTAATCCTGGCTTTCAACACTCCCTCTCCCCTGCTTCCTAAAAACTCTCTTTTGGGATCAGATGTTCATGGTTTAGAGGGTAAATCTTTTAATAGGCAATTCAGCTTGGCTTGCTTAAACATGTCCTAAACATGTGGGAAAAAAAAACCTACTGAAAAAACCCCCTGCTGTTAGTGGGGTGGCTGGGGGAGTTATTAGGACAGGACATCAGGAGCATCACCAGGGATTTGATTCCCAGTGATGTTCTTTCAAAGCTCTCTCTTTTTCCTGACTCAGTATTGCAACTGCTTTGAGCTCCTTCAGATGGGGATCTCTGAGACTGATTGCAGCTGGTTGGAAATGAATAATTCATCCTCTCCTACTGATTTTGAAGAGAGGCAAAATTATCTGATTGATGATTCTCTGAAGAATTAAGGAGCTTGCATACAAAATTGGTACACATTATTGGAGCTTATTAAACATTTACAGTTGTTTAGCTGTCAGGCCCTACAAGAATCCTAAATCCAAACCTGAAATATGTTTTCTTCTCCCTGTGGCCACTTGTAGAGGGCAGAAGAGATTTAGGGACTGTGGAGCTGTCCCCACTTATGGCAGTGCTGGTGGGAGGCAGTTCAGGAGGGACCTGGCACCAGCACTGGGTCAGGGTGGTCATGGCTTTGTCCAGGCAGCTCTGAAACCCTCCTGGGAAGATCCTCTACATTCCTGGTGACCTTTTTATGATGAAACCCTTTCAGACAACAGGTTTGGGCACTGTCCTTGTACCCTGTAATGGTAACAATCCAATGAACTCTTGTGTGGGCTGGAGAGGAACCACAAACCCTTCTGGTGACTCTGAGTGACCTGCTGGCCTTGGGTCCTTCCTGATGCTCCAGCAAAGGAGGCTGAGGTCTGTTCAGGGCAGCCTCACCCACAGCTTGAACTCATAAATTCAGTTCTTACTGATTTCCATCTAATTCCCTCCAGGAGAGCCTATTCACCATCAGTAGGCACAAGTTTAATGAGTAAAGAAGAATTTACATCATCATTACAATAAAAATCAGCTGAAACCTGGCCTGGCCAGGACAGAAACCGCTTGACTGAGGACACATGAGGGAACTCAGCTGCAGGGAAAAGCCAAAACTTCCCAGGAAGTCGAGGTTTGCACATCAAATGAGCACCAGCAGCACCCAAGGGGCAGCAGTGATGTCCAGAACATCACGGAATCATCTGGAGGTGGAGAGAACCCACAAGAACCATCCAAGTCCAACCCCTGCACAGCCCAGACACCAAATCTCCTGCCTGTCCCTTTAGGGAGCAGGGTCACCTATGGAGCTGTGATTTGAAATGCTGAGGATGAGCCCTCAAAGGGGACGCTGATGACACGGAGGAGGGACACCCTCTTCTTGTAGTGCCCGAAGTAGCGGAGCCGGTACACGCCGGGCTCCGTGCCAGCCGGGATGTGCCACTCAATGGTCACATTGCTCTGGCCACGGGATCCTTTGCTCCAGTAAAACCTGGAAAACAGGCCCAAAACTGCAGTCAGCAAGGAAATCCGCCTTTCATTGGAGCTCACTATGTGCCACGAGATAAAATACACTTGTCTGGAGCATCTTCAAGTCCTCCTTGTGCGGGGGCAGAGCTAAACTGAGAAGGAGAATATTCTCTTAGATAACAAAATCTATAATTATTGAGCTTCTGGCACCCATTTCCACATCAAAAGCCCATTTTATTTTATAGAATCCTTGTGCAAAAGCCTTGCTGTTCAACCCCTAAAACTGTACAGAGAATGCTCAGCCTCAAAACCCCACACATCACCTGGGCATGAGGGATTTTTCAGCTGGCTCTGAGGGAACCCTTCTTGGGAAGCTGATGGAGATTCACCTACAGCCCTGAAAGGTGTGACCAGCCTTGCTGCTTTGTGGATATTTTTCCTAAAGGCTGACATCCCCACCTTTAACTTTTATTTCTTCCAAACGTTTAAAAAATTGTTGTCTGTTTATGCTGCACAACACATCTGGCCAGTTTTCCCTGTGAGTCTCTCCTGTTTTCTTTTTGGCATCTTATTCCTCCCCACAGTGTGCCAGAGGGATGGATATAAGCTAGGAGCAAGCTGGACCACAAACCTTCTGTAATTGCTGCCCTTCCTCATCCCTTTCCCAAATTTGCAAGCCTCCATTCCAGACTCTGGAGCCAAGGGGAACACCAGTTTTGCCAAATTAACCCCCCAGTTATGAGCTGATCCTCCCTTGGACAGCATCACCTGCAGGGCCAAGACTAAGCTGGGGCTGGGAGCTCTGGAATGAAGCCAGGTTAGACTGGGATGACTCCCTGGATTCTGTGGGACAGGGAAACTGCTCAGGGCACCCACCTGGTGTCCCAGGAGGCGTCGTTCAGCACCACGTGCCAGCTGCTGGAAATGTTGGAGTACCTCTCCACCGTCAGGAAGTTATGCTCAGTCTGGAATAAAAGCACCAGAGTCAGGCAGACACTGAGGGACAGGCAGGTCCCCTCCTTCTGTGGCACTTGAAACTGGATAGGGACTCTGCTTCCTCATGCTTTACTGGCAGATGTGGGAATTACTGGCACAAGTGTTTTATTTTACTGCCAAAGCACAGTTTTTAAGCTGGTAAATTATGCAAAAAGCTTATCTGTAGGAAGAGAATGGGCAGTCACAATGTCCATGCAAGGTGAGTGATGGGATGAAGTAAGTGCTTTTCTAATTTCCTTTGGTTTGTTAAAATAAAGCAGCAGGGTGGTAGGATGGAAATTAGAGACCAGGTTTGCCCTGGATACCAGCCTGGTCTAACACATACAACTTCAATAATATAAAGAGATCAGAAACAGCCCAAAATTCACTTCATTGCCCCAAAAGCTTTCTGGTGGTGTGAATTCCCAAAGCACACACCTTCCCCGAGTCTCTCAGCAAAGAAAAAATCCTACCCAAATATCCATCAACCCCAAACACCCCAATTCCAGCATCATTCCACTAACCCCAAACACCCCAATGCCAGCATCATTCCATCAACCCCAAACACCCCAAATCCCAGCATCATTCCATCAACCCCAAACACCCCAATTCCAGCATCATTCCATCGCATTTACCGCATTCTCTGCTGAGTTCCTGGGGTTTGCACCCACAAACGTCACTTTTGCAACTTCTCTCTGGGGGGAAAATTGAGATTTGTGTTAAAGGCTGAGCAGCACTTTAAGAGCATCCTTTGAAGAGGCCATTTGATGTATTTAAGGGTGGGTTGGTTTTGGGGTGTTTTATTTTGCTTGGCTTGTTGTTGCTCTTGTTTTAAATCATTTATAATTTGACTTGTTGCAGCAGCAGCGGACAATTTGTGCTTTGAACTGCTGCTCTGGGCCTTGCCATTCCACTTGTCCTGTTTGCTGGATAAACTCCACCACGGCACATAAAAAAGGGATGAAATAAGGGAGATTTTTCAGAATGCCTCCCTGCCTTACTGCAGGGAGCAAGGAGACAGCAATGAGGTGAAAGCTTTTGCTCTGAACGTCTTATCTAAACGCTGAGCATTGAAAACAGAACCATTTCTGACATTTTGACTTCATTTCATTTACATTCCACGGCAGAGGCATCAAAGGTGACCTGATTGCTGCTTGTACAAAACCCTGTAAAATATTTGCCTACTTAATCAACTGCTATTTTGTTTTGAAGCAGAAGGGCAAATCTGCTTTGTGCGGAGTGAAGGCTTTTATTGCTTTTATTTCCCCCTTTATCCACCCATTTTCTTCCCATCCAGCACAGTGGCATGGCCATGGAAGTGCTCTGTCCCTGCCTTGTCAGCCGTGCCCACCAGAGACACGAGACCTGTTTGGTCTGAGGGCACCACAACTCACAGGCTTCTGGGGCGAGGGGGAAGAATTTAAAGGCAATTTCTCCAGCAGGTTTTAGGCATTCCCTGAAGCTCTCACCTCTCGATATTGTGGTCTCACTTCCTCCAGCACATCCCCAAAGGTTTTGTTGGCCGGCGCGTTCTCAGCGCTGAGAGAAGGCAGCAGGGTCAGGTTGGTTACGTTGAAAAGTGGGGGCTCTGGGCCAGGGGACAGCTCCTGAGTGGCATTCTGGGAGAGGGAAGATGTGCTTGTTAAACATCCACATGGACAGCCAGGATTCCCTGAGGAGCCACAGCTCTGCATCCCAGCCTCTGCTGGCACAGATTGTCGGAATAATAAAGTGAGCGGGAAAGCAAAGCAGAGGATCTCCAGCTGTGCTCTGCCTGCAGGAGCAATCCCTGCAGGACACTTGCTGCCCTGTTGCTGGGGTCTCCTAAACCCAGCCCCAGAACATCCCAGGACATTCCTGCCCATTGCTCCTGCCCGTTCCATGTCACAGCGATAATGGGCACTGCCAGGTACACCAAAAACACAGCAGATTTTTTTTTCCTTTTGGTAGAAAAGCAGCAACTTCAGGCCATGCTGAATGTTTAGAAGTACTGATTTCCTACACTTTGAGCTGCAAAACCCCCAGACTTTCTCAAGTGGTGTCAGGGCCCCATTACAGGAATTATTTTCATACCATTCCTCAAGGTGGATTCTGAAGAGAGAGCACAGCAGTCAGGCGGCCTTGGTGAGGAACAGCCACCACCACTGGCTTAAGATTCAGATGTCCCCAGCAGCCTGTGGCATGTAGGAAATGCTGCTTACCAGAGCAATAGCCTTGGCCAGGCCCCTGAACAGCTGGATGTAAGCAGAAAGGGTGTGTGGCCCATAAATAGTGGAGGCAGCCTCGTATCGTTGAACCTGGAAGGACAAATTCGGGAGAGGAGGGGTCGGAGGGCTCCCGAGTGGTTTGCACATCCCATCCCAGCCAGCTCAAGATGAGCTGTGGGTTGTTTACTCCCTTTCTGATAAGGAGACAGCCCCAACAACTTGCCAAAGTATTTCTGCTGCAATTTCAGGCTACTCCTCATTCTCCGACCTGCTGCAAACAGGGAGGGCCTGTTTGCTCTTCCAGTTTTTACCCTCTTTGCTCTTGCAATTAGCACAGTTTTTACCCTCTTTTAAAGGCTTATGATGCAACTTGCCTTCCCTTCCAACTTTTTGGGGTGGGATTCTTCCAACCTTCTTTCCCAGTTCTCCCTGCCCATTTTTGTGGCAAAGGAAGAGAACTCTAAACACACATCATTTCAAAAAGGTGAACTCAGAGAAATTCAATCCCCAGTTTTAATATTTACCTGGTATTCCTCATAGGTGGTGATGTAGTGGGTGTAGACATTGCACAGACCTGCAATCACAACGTTCATCCCTCGTGTCCCATGGGAATTAAATTCCTAAGGAAGGAAATAAAACCCTTACCTTGAAACAAGTGCTTTATGCACAACTATACTGTTTTTATTATTGTCATTGCTATTATTATTATATCAATATTATTATTATTGTTATGTCGGTTTGTATTATTATTATTACTATTATTATTATTATTACTATTATTATTAATTCAGGACAGAATACAAAGTTATGGTGGGAAGGGGGCTGGATGCCCAGGAATGCAAACCTACAAGTGTAATTTACCTTTTTTAAGGTCTCATATTCACTCCCCAAAGTAAAAACAGACAAATGATCTCACATTGCAGTAAATCTAGGGGGGTTATTTTGGAAGATGATGTCTGTATACTCCTAAAAAAATCAGGGATCTAAGTATGAGAAAGGCCCAGGGAATTGTGGAGACAGGATCTGGGACTGGGATTTTATTTAGGCTGCAGCCAGGATGTGTCAATCAAATGGAAAAAAAACTTTTTCCTTTTTTTTCCCCTGCAGTTGTTCTCGTGTTGCAGAATCCTGGTAGGGATTAAGGAGCTGAACCCCTCCATCCCAGAGCCAAACTCCTGCTGGCATCAGTTGTGCCTGGATCCCTGTGGAATTGGCTTAATGGACTGAAACCTGATCACTCGGTGTTTTGGGGAGGATATTCATTTCTCCTGCCTGTCAGGAAGCAGATGGAAAATCCATCTGAAGAAAATGGGAGCAGGAAACATCTGTGGGACACGACCCCCTAGAGCCCAGCTGGGAGGAGAGGAGGGAAAATCCAGGAGGCTCAAGAGGAGTTCCAGATGTGCTGGGCTCGGGGGAACCTCAGCCACTCACCCTTTGAACAGCCTCCCTCAGCCTGCGTCCAGACATGGTCCTGGGGCATGGAGGGAACAAAGTCAGGCTCCAGAATCATGGAATCCCAGGGTCCCTGAGGCTGGAAAATCCCTGCCAGCCCGTGGAGTCCCAGCTGTGCCCAGTGCCCACCTTGTCCCCAGCCCAGAGCACTGAGTGCCACCTCCAGCCCTTCCTGGCACACCTGCAGGGATGGGCACTGCAAAGCTCCCTGGGCAGCCCCTGCCAAGGCCTGAGCACCCTTTCCATGCAGAAATTCAGGCTGCTGTCCAAGCTGAGCCTCCCCTGGCCCAGCCTGAGGCCCTTTCCCCTTGTCCTGTCCTGGAGTTGTGGAGAGCAGGGATCTAAAGCAGGAATTGCTGGCTGGACTTGCAGCAGCCATCAGAAATTCCCACGGCAGCTCCAGCACTGCCCAACATCCCTTAAAAGCCTCTGTGCACAAGTTCAACCAAAACACCTCCAAAAATAAAAACACAATCAAAAATATTTCACACCCATCAGCACAGCCAGGGAGGGGCTGGAGGAGCCCCAGGGCAGGATAGAAATAAAGGTACTAGAGACAAATCATTATCCTATTTAAATGTGCATCACTGCACCACCACCAGTCAGTGCAATTCATCATTGTGGTGCCAAAAACAGAATCAAAGTTTAAAAATTCCTCAAAACTCCTTTTTGTTACAACCAAAATGATTCATGTGCATCTCAGTTGTTCTCAGGGTGAGTTTGGGGACAATTTTGAGCCTACCCCCCTTTCTACCCGCAGGGAGAAGTGTTCCAGGAGGTTTGAGTGAAATCTGGCTGCAGTAATGCAGCAAAGCCCAAGGAATACACACGTGAACTCCCCGGGCACAGCAAGGATTGCCAGGGACCCGATGGCAGCAATCTGCACATCCACGATGTCCGGGTGCCAGGGGTGGGGCCAGTTCATCTGAGGGGGAGGAAAAAGTGCATAGAAATACTCTGGTTTAGCAGGAAAAAAAAAAAAAAAACTGAGGTGTTTTCCTTCCTACAGTCATCAACCAGGCAGACAAATTAATTTTGTGCATTTATTTGTAAATTAAATTAAATTTATTTGTGAGACATGTGAGAAGGTGTTTTGCCTTCATATGATGTCTGACCATAAGAGTCACATAAGGCACAAGTAAATACTACAGGTAAGGCCAAAAAAGCCCTAAATAAGGTGTTGCCAGAGGGGCAGCTTTGGCAAAGTGGGTAAAGAGGGTCAGGCTAGCACCTAGACACCCCTCACCTGCATGGAAAAAGGATGGAATTGGGATTGATTGAGAAAAAATCCCACTCCAGCAAGCCAAAAAAGGGTTTTTTTCTGAGGAGCAATTTGCTGGGGGCAAAACATGAATGACAAAAGCTTGTGAAGCACATCAGAAGCAGGAGGCCTGCCAGAGCATCCCTAAAATGTGCAAAAGCCCTAAGAATAAAGCGTAATTTACTCTCAGTAACACCATCCTGCATGGAGGAGGAGGCTGGGAGGAGCTGGGGCCTCTTCTGGGGAGAGCTGAGGTGAGGAGCTGATTGAACACGAAGTGACAGCAGGGAAGCTTTTAACGAGGCTGGTGAAAGGAATAACAATGAATTTCCTTACCCAGATGGCCTCGTTTAAGTACTCTGAAAACCTTGGACATGATCCCTCTGCACGGCAGCAGCCTTTGCCTCAGTGCCAAGGGAGCATCAGGTGGAGAAAAGGGGCAGCAATTTCCATTTAGAGTGGTAAAGCAGGATTTGGGGAGAGCTCAGAAAAGGCCAAGCCATGCCCTGAGCATGGGGATGGGCTGGGGTCAGTGGAGCAGCAGCTCTGCAGGGCTGTGCTCCCTCCTCGTTCCTCAGCAATCACAGACACTGCCTGGAGCTCCTGACAAACCCACCAGAGACTGGGATCTGTGATCCCAGCCCAGCCCAGCATCCCTGCACCCCCCAGGGCAGACACAGCTCTGTGTGTGTGTCCTCACCTCTCCCGTGTTGAAGAGGATGGGCTTGGGCTTGTGGCAGGCTATGGTCTCGTTCGATGGCACTCCCAGCAGCTGGTCCCGGATTTGATCCCAAAACGGGTCCCCTTCCACTGAGCCTTGAGGGGGAAACATCTTTAAACTCTGTTCCTCAGCTGCCCCAGCAGCTCTCAGACACTCCCTGATCCCAGATAAGGAGGACAAGTGAGCAGGAGAGTCCCAAACCAGCTCTTCCTTCTCCCTATTCCCCATCCCACCCCCTTGCTCTCCTTCCTCCAGGGCATGGCCATATCCTTTTCCCAAATGGCCACAGACAAATCTGTGAGGGGGTTTCCTCCCCCCTTCCCAAAACCATCCCTTTGGGTGCTGTGAAGTGACTCCAGGGCTGTCAGTCCATCTGGGATCTGCCCCAAATTACCTTGGGTGAAGTTGAAAGCCCCCACTCCATCAATAGTCCCCGCAGCAAAGCTGTGCCCCAGGGCTGGTTTGCAGGTTTTGACCTAAATCAGAAGGGGAGAAGAAAAGGGAAAAGAGACAAACCCCATTTTCCCTCATGGTAGCAGGTGCTGCTGGGGGGAACAATGGGACAAACCCCATTTTCCCTCAGGAACAGGGCACTGCCTGCTGCTCTCACCGTGTGCGTGGCGTTGAGCTCCACGGACACGTTGCTCATTTTCACCCACTGGTGGGCTGAGCTCAGGGGTCCTGTCACCTCCTGGGAGGCTTTGTCATACAGCTCCTAAGGGACACATGAGGTGGAAAAAAATCCTTGTGGGACGAGGGGTCAGGAACAGCCATCTGGATATTTCCTCATTCCACCTTCCCGGAGCCTCTTCAGGCATTAATGCAAATCTCTAATTCCCAAGTCCCCTTGTTTCTGCCACCCCCAAGCCCTGCAAGCTCTCCCTGTCTCAGGGAGGGAGGACATTTCTCTTTTACAGCTCAAATATGCCCCTGTTTCAGCAGGATGGCAACTCCCTTCCCCTGGTTGCCGCCTCTTGGCATCTCTCACATCTTCGACCAAGCAGGAAAAAAAATGTTTTCTGTGAGAAAGAAGCGTTTTGCTCTACTCACTGCCTCAAAGTTCTGCTCGTATTTATGCAGCCCTGACAGCTGAAGGTATTTACTACACACACTCAGCCCCTCAGGGGATGGTTTTCCAGCCTCAGGTTGGTCCATGGGAAGGGTTGCCAGAAGTTATTCAGGTTTAATGACATTCCTGGAAGGAGCTGAGGGCACAGCCAGGAGTCTGAGGTGCTAAAGACAGCAGCAGTGGTTTCCCCCTGTGTTTGATGCACACACCAGCGTTCTTGGACTGGGGACAGGCACAGCCAGCCTGGAGTGACTTCAGGGCACAGCCTTGGCAGGGGTGACTAAAGGAAAAGCCACCACCAGCCTCCTGCTCCAGATCCTACAAGATCCTGCCCCTGAAATGCTGCCAAAAGCTCTCCTTGCACTCACTGCTCACATCACACAGGAGGGGGACCAGCAAATTGGGTCCAGGGTGGCTTCAGAGCCCACGGGTGACAAAAGGGAGCCCTTAGGGCTGAGCAAATGCAGGGCCAAGCAGAGCAAGGGGAGCGTCCTCTGTGGGGGCTTCAGCCACACATTTCACCTCACATTTGTGTCACTTTGGGAATGTGATGCCAAACTGGCCCCCAAGTGGTGTGTGGTGGTGTCTCTGAGCTCTCCCAGGAGGATTTTTCCCATCATGATGCCTTTGAGATGAATAGGAGGGATAGGGAGAGGATAAGAGGGGACATCCTCATCATGTCCCAGTGAGGAATATTGAGATCAAAACCCCAAACCAGCATTTTCAAGTGACAACACCTGCAAGGATCTAAATATCAAAAGTATCTAAATAAAAGTATGTGTTGTCCAGTCTAAATTCAGTCAGGTTTCTAATCAGTTGTGTTCTACCTGAGGAAATTTTTCACTACCATTAAGATTTCCTACAATGTCCTAAAAGTAACAAATTCCAGGCTCTGATGTCCTCTTGATTCCAGCAGACAGAGACATCACCAGCTGGTTGCAGAGCTCATTTACCCATTGAAAACAAAATCAAGGAACTTTACCGTAATTTGAAAAAACATTTACCAAAAAACATTGACCAAAGCAGGTACAAGATAGATAGAATATGGAATATAGCAGCTAGAAGATGGAATATGGAATATCCAGAGGGAAGGGATCCACAAGGCTCATCAGGTTGCTCAAATGAGCATGAATTCCTGTCGTAGCAGCACTCACACGCACTCAGAAAGCAGAATATCCCTTACCTTTGCTTTCAAGTAGAGGTTTTGCCCTATAATCCTGGTGCTCTCAAACATATCGTTGCCGGGCCCCTTGGCCATGCACATGGCTGCCTGTTGGGAAATTTGCTTGGTGATCAGTGATTATGGAGAGAGAGCATCTGGCACTGCCAGGTGGCTGTCAGGCCGTGGGAACTGAGGGCTTCTTGCAGGCCACATCAAAATTAGCCACGGGGTTACCACACTCAAGTCAAATTTGGGGTGAACGACCAGAAAATCGGGAAGCAAAGCGCGGTTAATTCCTGGAAGGGGCACCCAGGAGGGTCCAAAAAGAGGTGATTTTTCACTTTCAGTGCCCTCCCCGTGTGCAGAGGCCCAGCAGAGGTGGGGACAGGTGGGACACACTCACCCCTCCGACGGGACAGCTGCTCTGGGGGTTGTCACACGACTCGCCCGTGTTGGCGCAGAAGGGGCCCCGCGTGTTGGGGGACACGTCTCCCAGGTTGGATGAGGCAAAGGCGGCCACGAAGGAGCCCTGCCAAGGCCGGAGGAGCGTTGCAGTGCCTCGCAGGGAAAGCTGCAAAGCTCCCGTGCAGCCCTCCCCGCAGCTGCTGTGCTCACCAAGCAGGACCCTGGTTCATTCCCAAAGTCGCTGGGAGCTCTGGGGTGGATGGGGTTTGGGCACATCCAAGGGGTAGGGCAGGAAGGGAATTGGATGCACACGATGCCATTTCAGGGGGAGCTTCACACCACCTTGGTGTGCAGACAGTGTTTCCTCCTCCCCCTCTTCCACCTCTGCTCTTCCCCTGCTTCTCATGTTGCTGATCAGATGTTTATGGCTCATTGGAGCACCTTGTACAGGAGTTTTTTCCCTTCCAGGTGTTCACCATCACTGATTTATGGGGTGATTTATTTGAGCTGACTGCAGGGACACTTCCCAGGTTGTTCAAGGCCTGAACGCTTCCAGGGATGGGGCAACCACAACCTCCCCAGATTTTAATCAAAATAAATGTGAGTTATTCCTCAAGTCTGAAGAACTGCCACCAATTACTAGTTTAGAAAGTCAAGAACACACCTTCCAATCTCCCTTCTGAAAAAGGAAATAATTCACACCATTCACCACAGTCCTTGTGTTCCTGTGTTTGCCCTCCCTGTCCCAGCCCTGTTTCCCCCATTCCTTGGGGTGCTCCCACCTCTCCCGGGAGCTTTCCCTTGTTCTTCTCCTGCTCAAACAGGTAGGAGGCATAGCCCACGTTGTCACTGTTCACCAGGTGGTTGGAGTTGTTCATGCTCACCGGGTGCACGGCAAACCAGCTGAGGAAGGGTTAAAAATGAAATTTAAAAAGTGAAATGGAAAAAGTGAAAATGCTCTGTTCACTCCATGCAGCAGCAATTGACCTGTTCAATCCTATTGAATTTTCCTATTCCCACTTTGGGGGAATTTTCTTTAGGAGAATATACACAGAGACTTGTGGTGCTCAGGGATCCTAAGAAGATCCCCATCCTGTCCCTTCCTAAGCAGGAGGGCTCATGGCTGTAACAATCCAGGCCTTGAGACCACAAGAATTTGTCACTGTCACTATCAGGGCCACCAAGAGCTCCTTCAGACCTGAACTGATTCTTGCAGTAACCCATAAACTATATTTTGCAGGGATTTTTATATTCAAAAGAACAAGGAAGAGTCAGTGATGTAAAAAAGGGAAAAAACGGAACACCTTCATTCCTACAAAAAATAATGAGGGTATGGAGAAAAACCTGCAGCTCTGGTGGTCAGTACCTGATGAGGCCCAGCTCGTGTCCATTCTCATCCACCATCTTCAGCAGCACCATTTCTTTATCCGTGTTGGATGAATACCTGGATGGAGCAAAGCAGGGAAATCCCATCAGAGTCAGGGCTGTGCTCTTGTGCTCTGGCAGGTTAAATCCTCACTAGGCTGAACAAGGATGTGAAAAGGTCATTCCAGGTACCACCAGCACACTGCAAGGCCTTAGAGGAGCACCTGGACCCAGCTGGGAAGGTGAGGGAAGAGCTGTGGCTGTCACTGCCCTCAGGCACTGCTCCTCCAGGGAATGGAGGCAACACAAATTCGTGCACCAGGGACAGCTCTTCAATGCCCTCTGACTCCTTATTTGTTAAATAAATCGCAAGGTCGCATCCTTGACTGATTCCTCATGCTTGGAGAGAGCAACTACAGCTTTCAAGCCCTTTTCAAGCAGTTAATTTTTTTTCTCCTGCCTGGGGAGATTTTACCTCTTCCGCTCGGACTCCGGGTTCGCGAGGTAGGAGAAAGGGCTGCGGTTGATCTGGCTGTTTTCTACTGTGCCTCTGTTTATAAAGAGCCTTCCTCTCTTCATGTTCTCATGGGCAATGTCTATGCTCTGCAAAGCGGCAAGACAGGCACTGTCAGTCTGTGAGGGACGTGGGAGGTTATCTGGAAAATCTCTTTCTTTCCCTCCCTGTCCATCCCCAAACCTTTACTGGAATCTGGGGGTGATTGTTTGGGATTTTTTCCCTAAACCGATCTAAAATTCTCAAAAATTACAACACCATTTTTAAACCACCAACGGCTGTCTCTGAAGAAAGGGTTCAAAGCTCCTGCTTTTTGAGCTACAAACAAGCAAGCCCACTCCAAAACAGGCTGTGCCATGCAGAGTGCTGTAGATGCACTAAACATGCAATCATAGAATATCCTGAGTGGGAAGGGACCCACAAGAATCATCAAAGTCCAACTCTTGGCCCTGCAGATGAGCATCATTTATTCTAGAACTCCATTCAAACTATTACACAGAGATAAGGGGCTTTTTTTCCTGATTTCTTTGATCAATATTCCCAGTATATTTCTTGTTATCTCAAGCCTGTTTCCCACCCTCCATAAGGCTGCATTTCAATTTAAGCATAATTTGGGAAGCTGTTTATGATTATGGTGCTGGATGGATATCCAGTGATTTTTGCAGATACATTAACTTCTAGTACTTCTGGTGTTGCCTCCCACAGCTGTGCTGGGCACCAAGGCGCTGAACTGGGCCACACCGACCTTCACAATGCCATTCACGATGGAGCTGAGGGCTGGCCGGACGAGCCCCTTGCTGGTGATCCAGAAGAGGGTGTACTGGAAGTACCCTCCAGGCCCCGAGTGCGTGTGGGTCCCGCTGAGGATGACGTTGTCCTGCCGGTACAGCTTGCCGTACTTGCTCCGCAGCTGCTTCAGCACCTGAGGGGAGGAGGTGCTCCCAAAAACCCCTTCTTGTGCCCAAAAATACCCCAGCCATCCATCCCTCCCTCCCTCTCCTCGCTCTTTCTGCCTGGCACAACAAGGAGGTTGTAGCTGTTGGCTTGGCAGGAGGCTCAAAATAGGAATATCTGGTAAAAGACCTTTATATCCAACCCGAAGAGCATCCCAGATCATCCCAGGAGGATCCACAGTTCTCCAGCACCTCTCTATCATTGTCACTGCTAGAAATGAAGGGATGGGACTATTTTTGGGCTAAGAACCATTTATTGCTGAGATAAACATCAGTCTCAGAGGCTGTGAGGTTTTAGAGGAGCGAGCAGTCGGCCATAGCTCAGAGCAGTCACAAGTTCTTTGTTACAGGGCAATACAAAACTTTCTAACCCCATGGAGAGATGCCACGAGGTTCATTTTGCTTTTCTAACCTTTACTTCAGTGTGGATACTTTTATCTAATGGGCTTCTGTCACACTTAAACACATATGCTTCTGTTATAACTTCTATACAACCCCATCCCTACATTATAAACCCTTCACCATCTCATCAATGCAGTTTCTCACTTAAGGCATATTGTTACTTACAACTATAGAAACATAAGTTTATGGTTTTTCTGCTTAATGTCTATGTGTTTTATTTTTACATCAATCCGAACTTCTCCCAAGGCTGCAGATCAAACCCTTTGGTGTCTGTGGAAGCTTCTGTTTTTCTGACTCCCACACCTCCTCTGCTGCACTTGAGGCACCGCGATAACGTATTTGTGATTCCAATGAACTCCTGGTAATTCTCCCACTAACAGAAGAGTGAGCAAAGCCCAGCCTCATTTGCTGAGGGGCCCAAAGCTCTTCTCCAGCCCAAGGAAATCCCAAAGGATTGCTTTGCAGCCCGTACCTCCAGCCTCACTCTCTGGGACACCATCCCGATGTCGGCGCTGACGAACACGACGCGCCGGGAGCCCTCGGGCTCTGCCACGATGAAGGCTCGGCTGTAGAGGCGTGAGAGGAGCCCCCCGCCCAGCTGGTCGGGGTTGGCATATCCCATCTGCAAGAGAGGAGCTCCACCATCAATACTGAGCCATTTATTCCTCTGCTTTCCCTGACTAGATTTGCCCGGGGGTCATTCAACAGCTCCGAGCTGCCGCTCTGTCTTTCCCTGCATTCCATGGAATGGTTGGGCCTGGAAGGGGACTTAAAGCCCATCTCCTCCCAACCCCCCCTTCCAATCTCCCACCAGCCCACGTTGTTCCAAACCTCAGGGAAATTTCAGCTTATGTTTGAAGGCAATGCACGTTTGGCAAGGCAGAGGCTCTACACCGGAAATCCTGCCCAAAAACTACTCCCAAAGGATGAAAAATCAGTATTTCACCAACCCCAGGAGGAATTGCCCCAACTCACCAGAGGCACCTGTGCCACGGGCCCCGTGCAGTCAGCTCTGCCAACACCCACCAAGTACTTTGCCTCTTCTGCTGTGTTGCTGGTGCAATCTGTGACAACAACAAATGGCAGATCAGGGGACACAGCGAGCAGAACTGGGGACAACAGAGGCCAAAGGGCTCTGGCTGAGTGCTCTGAGGGGATTTCCAGTGAAGTCTCAATGTGCCGAGGCTGTGGAGGCCTCTGGGGTGGCAAAGCAGGCATGAGGATCCACCCAGGGAGCTCTCAGAGGGTCACTGGACACTGAGGTGGGTGGGGATGCACAGTGAGAGGAACCAGCCCAGCATTCCCAGTTAAACCCTCCAAGCCCACCAGTGCCACGCAGGGGCCAAATCCAAGTGCTGTTTGACACAATTCAGCTCAGCACTGATAAGGAAAAAGGGATGGTGGGTCAAGAGCTGTTGGAAAAGGACTAGGGAAGAGAGGAGGGCACATCCAACACATCCTGTGTCCAGTGCTGGTGTCCTGGTCTTCCCCCAAAAAATCACAGCAGAGCCAGCCGAAGCTCAGAGAAGGGAAAAGCAGTTCTGAGCAGTGATTTCCAGGCAAATGGTGAGGAAAAGGTCTCCCAAAGGAGATCACATCTCACCCCAGGCACCAGGAAGGTGCAGAAATCCTTCCAGGATGGGCAAACCCATGGAAGAAAAGCCACGGATGGCTATCAAATCATAATCAATCAGAAATGTTATCTGCATCTCAGGAAATCCCAGAGCCACAAATCACTGCAGGCTGAGATAACACTGTGGGAAAACATGAAATATTTCTGTGTGCTTGCCCTGTTCCCACAGCCCTCCCCAGGCAGCTGCTTTGGGACCAGGGGATGCTCCATTTTCCCAGCCTGGCCTTTCCTGGGCTGTCACTTAAAACACAGGAGAAGGGAAACACACTGGCCACAGACTGATGCCATTTCTGTCATTTAAAATGACACCAGCCAAACGGGCCACCCCTTTAGAACTACCCCTCCTCCTCCTCCCCCAAGACCCCTGACAATGATGAGAATCATTTGTGCAAAACTGTTATAGCCTAAAAACACAAAGTTTTGAGTCCTAGATGTGAACTACACCCAATTTGAGCCCAAAATCTGGAAGCTGGAAGGTCCCACTGGTGAGATGCTGGGTCCAGCTCCCGACACCCTCATTCCCTGTGCCTGGGGATGGGGTGAGGTTGTGAAACCCGAAATCCTGGGAGTGAGGGGCTCTCAGCAGGCACAGAGAGGGAAGGGAGGATGGAAGGAAGGGATGATCCCTGCAGCCGGCCTGAGCCCATCCCTGGGGCTGTGCATCCATGCCCAGAGAGCTGCTCCGTGCCCGGGCAAAGGCACCACGTGCAGAGGTGGTGGTGACAGCTCAGCACTGACCCGAGACCTCCACCTGTCCCCCTCTGGTCTAAATCCTGCCCTGGGCACCCCCTGGAGCAGAGGGCTGGGAGAGCTCCACTTGCCATCGGTGTTTTTGGCGAGGAAGTGCAGCACCAGGAGCACCACGGTGAGGGAGATCATCAGCACCAGGCACACGATCAGGATCACCTCCAGCCGGGTGTAGGAGCACCTGGACCTCTTTCCAGGCATGGTGGGGGCACTGTGGGAGCAGAAAGGAGCCCTTGCGACGTCCCAGTGTGGGGCACATCTCAGCCAGAGCTCACATCCCACCCTCGGGGAGTGTTTGTGTCCCCCAGCCCAGTGTCAGAGACAGCAGCTGTAGTCATGATATTTTATGAAAAATCCTTTGCTAGGATTTTTCCCTCCTGAGGGGCTGGGAGCTCCAGGAAAGAAATTTAAACAATAACAATCTGCTGCTGTGGGATGCAACAGGTGCAGCTGTGATTGGTGTGTGTTGGTTGTTTCCAATTAATGGCCAATCACGGATGCAGCTGCATCAGACTCTGAGAGTAACAAAATTTTGTTGTGCATTCTATTCTTGTTCTTTCCAACTTTCTAATAAATCTTTTCTCTCAATTCTTTTAGTATAGTTTTAATGTAGTATTTTAATATAATATATATCATAATATAATATAATATAATGGAGTCAAGCCTCACGTCTCCACACATTAAACACCAGACACAACAAGCAGCAGCACAAGAAGGGTGGGAAATGGAGATTTATATTTCAGCTTATGACAAAAATGTGTCTCCTGCTGGCAGCAAGCACTCCCTGACACGAGGCCTGACAGGACAGGGAGAGCACCCAAATTCCCAGTCCTGTGTCTCCCAAGACACTTTGCTCACCCCTCTGAAGAGATCTGGGAACAAACCCCACAATATTCCACCAGGCTCTCTGAATGGCTGTAGGAGATGCTGAAGCTCAGAGCGTGGCAGAAGACAGTACTGTCACCATAATAAACACCAATTCAGGGATCTCAGCTTCAAGGTCCCTCCCAGCCCACACCAGTCTGTGATTGTTCTGTGATTAGAGAGGGAAGAATGAGGCAGAGAATCTGATTTTCCAGGCTGTGACATTTGCCAGCTCTGGTGAAGCTCCTGCCATTCCCTCACAGGGAATGTGCCCTGGAAACAATGAACCTGCAGGAAACAACTGCTGGAATGAGCAGTTATGCTCCTGAAAAGGCTGCAGTGAGAAATGACATCAGCAGGGAGCCAAGTGGTCACTTAGTCTTGCTCCAGGTGACCTCTCTTATCAGCTTCTTTGGCTACAGCACTCGTGGTCAGGGCTGAATTTCACAGAACAAATATTTTAGTGACAACAAATCTGGAGTTACAGGTTTCCCTCCTGCCCTCTTTGCTCCCTGAGCTGTCCAGAACTACCCCAGCACCAGCCTGAACCACACCAGCATCACTCACTCGCACCCCACTGATTAAACTGCCCCAAAACCACTGGAAGCTGCAAACCCCAATCCTGTGGGATCCCAGGGGAATCTCCTTACCTGGGTGAGTTCCCTGGCCTGTCCCAGCGGCTCCCAGCTCCAAGCTGGAAAGTTCAGGTGGAAAATTCTTGCTGAATAACCCCATGAGTCAAGCGTGGCACAAGATAAGGAGAAACCAATCAATAATTGAATCCCATGGGAGGTGATGGAAGGCTTTTCCCTGGTGTGTTTCTGTTAAGCTGCAGACAGCATCTCCCCCTCCCAAAATAACCTTTCCAGGACTGCTCTGCTGCTCGAGGAGTTTGGGAAGGGGATGTTTTTACTTCCTCTGTCCAGCCTGTGGAATGGTGGCTGGATGTGACTCCTGAGTCTCATGGAAGTTCACTGCTCAGGGTCTCCATGCTTTACTAGAAGAGCTTGGAAACACAATTGTACTTTAAGCGTAAAATACTTTTCATTATCAATGCACTTCTATTAAAAAAAAAAAAAAACCTCTATTTGTTAAAACCCAGCTTTTTTTTCCCACCTGTTTCAAGTCCCAGCTAGGCCTGGATAAATTCCCCAGCTGCTCAAATAGCTTTATCCAAAGGCTTTTGGCACTTTGCTCCTTCCCAAAGGGACAGACCCATCAGCTGTTGGTGCAGCAGCTAAAAAAAAAAACCAACTTTATTTGTTAAAACCCAGCTTTTTTTCCCCACCTGTTTCAAGTCCCAGCTAGGCCTGGATAAATTCCCCAGCTGCTCAAATAGCTTTATCCAAAGGCTTTTGGCACTTTGCTCCTTCCCAAAGGGACAGACCCATCAGCTGTTGGTGCAGCAGCAGGAAAGATCCAACCAGCCAAGCCCTTTCCCCTCCTGCATTGTGGTGGGAATTAAGAGCTGGGAGCACCTCTGGCATTTTCCTCCCCTCTCAGGGAAGGGAAAAGAGCTTCCATCACCTTTCCCATGGTGCATCCCTGATCCAAGGGTTAACAGTGCAGGCAAGGGCTGCGTCAGCGCTTCAAGGTCACGTTCAGCTCTGCCCTTTGCCTCCAGTGGTTTTTGGACTGGCTTCTGGGGACAAACGAGATTTCTCGATACCTTATCTCCTGGCTGTAATTCCCAAGGAACCTGCAGGCCCTGGAAACTGCCCTGTGGGCTGGCAGATCCTCCCAAACACCGCTGTGCTCCTGGGAACGCTGAGTGGGTCCCAAAGCCTTGGGGGGACCTGGAGGAGGGGACAGACAAAACCATAGAGCAGCTGAGCTGCTGGCACAGGGATGAGCCAGGAACAGGCTGGGCAAGAGCAAGAGCTCTTCCTGCAGGTGGAGCATCAGGAAAAGCTGATTAAGAGGTTGAGTTTTAAGGAATTGTTCTTGTGATGCAGAGTGCTGCCAGCCTCACCCCACAAAATGCCAACAGCTGAGGAGCAGTGGCTCTGTGACCACCTGTGGCTGGGGGTGGAGGGGGGAAAGGAAGATTGGTCCAAGGAAGAAAGCTCAAATCATGCCCTGGGGAATATTCCAGGTTGTTTTCCCGTTGAGGTTCTGGGGGCCCACAGCTCCCCACCTCCCCCAGGTGATGTGGCTGTGTCCAGGCCCAGAACTGCAGAAGCAAGGAGTTTTTGGTGCAGAAAAGGCACTTTCTGGGCTGCAAAGACCTCAGCTTAAGAGCTAAGGGGCTGGTAAATCCCTCTGAATTGCCTGTGGCAATGTGAGGAAGGTGAAAAGTTCCCACAGACCATCCTCCTTCCCAAGACCAGGAGTCCTCCAGCTTCTCCCCCGGTGCCATTTTGTGCCAAAAGGAGTCTAAAGAAAGTGATGTTCTCTTTACAATCTTCATCCTGCTGGAAAAAAGAAGGTTCCTCCCCATCCCTGCTACCACAGGACTGCTCTCTGTGACCTCCCCAGGGGCTGCAAACAGCCCAGGGCCTGCACCCTCAGCAGGAGGAGTGTGGGATCTCCAAACCCCCTGGGATGAAGGGATTCCCTGAAGGAGTCAGGCAAGGCTGACACAGGGGAAACCACTCGACACAGATGGCCAAATGTGCCTTTCTTCCCCAAGGAACGTTCTGCTTCCAGATCATTAAGGAAGAGGATTCAAACTACCTCTAGGCAGGAAAAATAAAATGAATAAAGAAAATTTGCTTTGAAATATGAACCCATGAAGAATTTACTTCCCTTTCCTCATTTTTCAGTTCCTCATCCCTCCTGAGCAAGACCAGATCATTTCAGAGAAGTGGCACTTTCCTACAGCACCCAAATTTCACTTTAAAACCAGCATTTCCTGGTCTCTTGGAGAGCTCCCTTTCTGTAAACCATCCAAGCTGGGACTGGGTAAAACAAAAACGAAACTCTTCTCTTCAAAATGCTCAGGCCATGATCTTCTCTGTAAACTTTCTGAAACAAGAACTCTTCTGATAGGCAATGAAGAGATTGAAAATTAGTTTTAATTTTTTTTTTTTAATTAGAAGGCCTGGAAGTATTCCTGAAACTGGCTGCATCAAGCCCCCTTGTTCTAGGGGGGGGAAAAAAAATCCCTTTTTTCCTGAGAAACCACTGTGATGATGGGCAATTCCCCAGTGCCAGGGCTTCACCCTGCAGGACAGAAACCTTGATTCCAGCCTGTTTGCTACACCCTGGCCAGTCCTGAGCAGAAAATTGGAACAACCATCACCTCAGCTCGAGCAGGGGGCTGGTGCAGAGCTGAGATGTTCCCAGAGCCTGAGATGCTGGGTGTGAGAGCCCTCACAGCAATGAAGAGGCCTCTTACATAATGTTGTTTATTTAACAGAAAATGGCCAAAGTCCTTTCTGCTGGGGCTCAGGGTGGCAGGAGATAAAAGTGTTTGCACAGAGCTGGCAGCAAGAACCCTGCCAGGCTTTGGCCAGGACACACCAGCGCTGATTTATGTGAAAATCCAACACCAGGTGGATTTTCTTCCCTGGTCAAAACACACATCCCTACTCCAAGCAGCAGCTGGGAGTGGAGCACTTCTTTGTGGTGGCAAAAGGTGACTTTCCTGCTGGAAAACACAGACGTGGAGAGTTTAGGAAGGGCAGGTTCAATGGAAAGGTAGCAAAATTGGAGTTTGTGAACTCAAAATCCTGCACAGGTCACTGAGTGACAGCTGAGCTGAAGGGATACCTGGCAAATATAATTAAAATGTTGTCCTGGGGTGCCTTGCCTTGCCCCAAGAGCAAGAATTCTCCTGTCCTTCTGAAACCAAGTCATGGTGGCTTTTTGCTGATAATAACTTATGGCCAGGCATGTGAACACCCCAAAATTCCCCAGGTGTTGTGCCTTAAATCTATCCAGGGGTTAAAGCTTCACCACAAACAGAGAATATTTTGCCATCCCTCATCAGAAGCTGCAGCAGCAGCCCCAGGGACAGGGCACTTCCCAGGGATGTGGGAGAGCCCAGGGAAGCATCACTCCCAGGGAGAGCCAAGCAGCACATGCCAGGGTAAAAAGCTCTGGCACAAACCTGGGAAAACCTCAAAACCAGCAATGCAGACTTGGGCAGATCCAAATTCAATCCCATGAAGGGATTTTTGGGGGAAAATGGTCATAAAATGAATAAGGTGAGGTGCTCTGTGTCCACCCATGCCAGCAGGGCTGAGCTGCTGCTGCTGCTGAAAGCCAAATTCTGGGAGTCCTGACTGCTCCCAAACCTTGCAACACCTCCTCCTTCCATCATCTTGGAATCACAGATCATCCTGATATGGGAGAGAACCCCAGGGACCATCAAAATCCAACTCCTGGTCCTGCAGAGTGCCTGAGAGTGGTGTCCAAACGTTTATTGATTTAAACAAAGGGTGCCATGCCCAAATCCTGGCTCTCTCTGGCATTCCCTGCCCAACCTGCAGCACATGTGGGCAGCCAGGGGCAGGAGAGGCATGGAGAGGATGCAAAAACAAACCACAGATCCTTCTGGCAAACATTTGTGGCCAGTAGCTGATGAGCAGGATGGGAGAAGCTGACACACCAGGAATTTGTGGCTTCTCTTTGGGCAGTGCTCTGATCCACTGGCACCAGGAAGAGAGTGAGCACCAAGCTGTGTCCTGAGGGAAAGCAGGAGGGGGAAACTGATGGGATTGATCTTTCCAGGGCACAGGAAAGCAGAGGGATCACTGCCCTTGCTCGTCATGCTCCTCCACCACCTCCATCCCTGTATTTATGGGTGTCAAACCTTCTCCAAGCTCCTGTATCCTGATGGATCTTGACAACATCAGTGCCCACGCTCCTGGCAGAGATCCTGGTGTGTGCCCAGCTCTTTCTCTACCTTGCACCTTCCTTTTCCAGCCTTTTCTGGTGCAGACCCCTCCTCCCACTTTCAGCCTCCTGGCACCTGCACTGTTCTGTCCAGGTTTGTCCCTGCACACCCAAACCTGGCTCTGCCTGTCCTCAAAGACACCCTCAGTGCCCAGCTGGATGGTTCCAGCTGGGATATCCACAAGTTCTGTGGGACTGGGGCAGCACAACGCCAGATTCCAGCTTTTACAGCCCTTCGGTTTGCTGTGTTCACCTCTCTGATGGGCACCAAGCAAAGAGGAGCAGCAGGAGCTGGGAGGGAGAGGCAACAGTGCACCAGTGCCCAGGGCAGGGAATCCCTGAGGTGGTTCAGCCCTTAACTGGGACAAGATTGTCCCTGGAAGTCACCCCAGGAACACAAAGTGATGGCACAGGAGCCCCAGCAGCCCGGGCTGCTTTCCCCACACAGCAGAGGCTGAGGGATGGCTGTAGGTGGATCTTACCTGAGGTTTGAAGGGGAAACACAGAGAAAATCTGGGATTCTGTCCATCAGCACCATGCCCTGACCCCGAGCCACGTCCCATCCACCCAGCCAAGGCAGCACAAGCTCCACAGCCTGGACTGAGGCAATGCACAGCAGTTCTGCCCCAAACCCACCCCGGGCCCTCCTCCAGAGCCAGCAGCCCCATTCCCAGCTCCCTTCCCGAGGCAGCAGCAGGCCCTGCCTGAGCACAGATGGGGCCGTGAGGAGCCAGAGCCATGCAGAAAGTCAGACACCACAAGGCAGGATTGAGCAGATTCCATTTAATGTCATGTGCATATATATCCATACATTTACTTATGTCAATGGTTCGGATGTGCGTGATGCCAGGTCTTGAAAAATCTACTCGGGTTACGTCTGGGAGCACCAACTCTCTCAAAAACCAGCTCAAAAACCAGCTGGGCTGGGCTTGGGCTGTTGAAAAACCGACTTTTAGCCCCAAAAAGCCGTGAACTGAAGGCAGAGCAGGCAGAGCTGAGCCCTGAATTCCCACCCAGCTCTGCAAATGCTGTTGCAAAGGGCTTGGCAAAGCAATCCCTCCCTCCCAGGGAGACAGAACTGAGCTGCCCCTGGTCAGAGCAGCAGGAACAGCACCCCACCAGCTCTCCAGGGTTTTGGCCAAGGCTGAGGAACAGGACAGAGAGGCAGAGATAAAACATCCCCAACAAAAAAAAAAAGAAGGAAAAAAATGTCACTTTCACCACCACGGACGCACAGAAATTGGCCTCTCTTCTCTTTTTTTTCTGGTGTCCAGGGGCCAGCACTGGCAGCTCCTGGGGGAAGGGATGCCCACCCTGCTCTGTGCTGCATCCCAGCAGTTGCAGGGTAGATTTTTCAAGGCCTGGAGATGGCTCCCAGGAAGGCTCCTCCCGCCCGCTCGGCATCGATTGCATAGCATTTATTTCACATAAGGCACTGTTTTGCCCAACAGCAATTCCACAGCAATGCAGTTTCCATACAGTCCTCATAGGATGGCCTACAGTGCAATAACATCAACTTAAAGGCAAGGTTTGGAAGAATAAACCCAGCTTTAAATTGCAACTGAATATTAAGAAGATAAGGGAAACTACATTTTTCAAAAGCCTTTTTTATTTTCCTTCACCATTGTTGTTTTACAATACAAATATCACCTTGTGAATACACAAAAAACCTACAGAAGATAACTCTGCTTCACGTAAAATACAGAATGGATATATATATATATATTTATATATATATTTTTCTCTTCTTCATTCTTTTCTTTTTTTTTTTTATAAAAACTATTTTTGTTCTGCACATTGGCAAGTTTAGGATAGGAGACTTCCCCAAACATACAGTATGTATGGTAGGAGTGGAAACTTAGAATTACATGCAGTTTCTGCACAAATATTTTAAAGAAATAGATTATCTTTGTTGTTTTTCAACAACACTCCGACAAGGGGATGGAGAAACCATTCATAGTTCACTCAGTGATCATTTGTAAAATTCTTAAAAAACAGGAATTCATGGCTGTTTTGCTTTTTAAAACCCAGCTACCA